GGTTATCTTCAGATGGATTGCGCCCGTGAATCTTTCGCATTTGCAACATATAAACCAAAATCAGAAAGGAAAGTTAAAAAGTTTGTTCATTCGTTATATAATAATGTTCAAAAATATGATAACTCAGTATGTGGTAAATATATTGACCCTTCAGAAGTTTTCAAGAAAGCAAATGAAGAAGTTGATGTCACTTTTGATATGATTATTCCGGTAAATGATTTGTTAGCATTTCAGGCGTTCGATGATTATCCTAAATCATTTGGTGATATCATTCTTAAATATTATGTTTTCAGGGATACTTTAGTATTTTGTCAGGTTGACCCGTTAAGAGTTGCTGATTTACAAAATTACGTTTATGAAAAGATAACTGATGAAAATTATGAAAAGATTATGAATCATGTTTATAAATATGATCGCAAATTCCAACAAATCGGACTTCCTGCCAAATTAATTACAAGCTTAGCCGCTACATCTGCTGACGCAACAGTTGATGACGTTATTATTTCATGCACAAAGATGGAAGTTTTAGAGGATAAATGCATTACACCAGGATACGGTTTAATTGAAGAATCAGTTAAAGCAATACCACGTTTATTCAGTAAGGAAGATCCATTCATGATTCCAGCTCAACATATTGACGTTCGTTCACTAAATGGAGGTTGCATCACTCCTGAAGGTATTAGCTCAGATTTCTCATACGCTCTTCATAATGTTACAGATGTTGTGTTAGCATTTCCGAAGAATGCAATGCAAAGAACGGTTTTAGAAAATCCAATGCTTCGAGGTCTTCAGGTCACTATAGATTCCAGAAACTTCCCCGATCAAGCGATGACCACAGTGGGTGACATATTCTTTACACGTATGCTTCAAGCTTCTGATTTAGATGGAGTGAATGAATGCACAAAGAATACGAGGACTCATTAACTAGACCACTGAATGAGATGATGGCACGCCATTAGCTAGAACATGGAAAGACCAAACTTCATTCTTATGCACTATTCCAGTTCAACGTGATGGAGCGGGTATATTCTTTGATGGATTAGAAACTTTCAACTCACAAGTTACAGTACAAGTGAAAGCTTATCCAATCATTCAGGGTGAAAATGACACTTACTGTTCAAAGGTGACAAATCCTCCTCAGGTTTGGTTTACTAGGACTACGTATTGGACATGGACACCGGACGAAGGTTTGAAATATCATCCAACAGGTACACCACCACAGTATAGAAGTTCATATGATGAAATATTGATGAATAGAAATGTTTAAAATTATAAATTTATTTTTGATTAAATGGATTTAAATTCTGAAGAATTAGCAGGAGTATATAATACATACGTAGATGATATGATTAATGAAGCATTGAGTGATAATAGAAATGCTCTATCTAAGGAAAAATTAATGAAAATTCCATATTCTGAATGTTACTTAAATTCAATCACTGCAGCAATTGGTAAACAAAATAAAGGTAAAACTTAACGATATTAAAACAAATTATCATTATTGCTAACACTTCCCCCATTCATGTGTTAATTTATATCAACCGTTCAGGTTCACCTTCAGATGATACATTTGAATCTTTAAAGCATTTAATCAAAATTCCAATTATTTATTTATCACAAGAAGAAGCAGAAGATTATTTAAAAAACTTTTTAATGTATAAAGAATTATATAATACAATCAAGAAGCAAGGATTAGAGGATAAAATTATTGATAAACAACGGGATGAATTATTTGAAACACTTTCTATTTCAAATTTTGATAGAGAATTTTTGCATTCACTCATTTTTCTAGATGATGCAGTGAAATCAAAACTAATAACAAATGAGAAATCATATTTTAATCATTATTAACTCAATGTCGACACATTCAGTGTTCATTCTTATGGCTGTTCAATATTTCAAAGCATTAAGCACAAACATTAAATCAAATCTATCAACACTTTTCATTTTCAGTGGGTTTAGTCGTCAACAGTTGAACGTTATGCTTTATCAAGTGAATTTACCAATGAGCATTAATGAACTTTACACACAATATCAGCAATTAGGTGAACATGGAAAAATAATAGTTGATTTAAATAAAGGAGGTGTTAAATTTGATTAACTTTTTATAATTAATTTTTATTTTTTATTTATAATTAAACATGACAGAAATAGCAAATCTTCTACAGGTTCCATTAAAACAAGGAACAAACAAAAAGGGTGCATATATAATAGAACTATGAAAGTTCCTGATGGAATGAAAGAATTAGTTCATATTGTTGCTGGTCTTCAAAAAGATGTTAAACAAATGAGAAACGTTTTAACATTACCAGAAGCTCAAGCATATGCCAAACGTCATGGTCCAAATTGGGAAGCACATGAAGCAGACATTACGGGTCCAAATGGAAAACCTGATGTATAAATGAAGTTTTCGTTACTGATGGTCAAGGTAATATTAAAGTCATAAATGGTTATAAATTAACTGTAATCTGATTATCCTAAACGTAAAGCATATAATGAACGTTATCCTATGCAATTTGATGAAAATGGAAAAGCTGTTAAACAATACATTGGAGAAGGTGAAAATGGTCCAATTAATTCATACCGTTATAATCCATATTCTTATTTCAATGAAGAATTAAATGCTATTGAAGAGGGACCGGATGGATTACCACGATATTCTAACCAGTTTGATGGTCAATATGCAAATATTAGACCTGAAATTTCAGCTAAGAAATTCTTTAAAGTTGCTTTATTCGATCCAGTTTTCGCAAATGTTAAAGATGAACTTAAACAGCAATTCCAACCAATTATAGTAGCAAGAATTGCATCAGGTGCTTTATCTCAAGCATTCAAAGATTTAATTAAGAAACCATTATATCAGCAACGAGGTTTAACTTATGATTTAGTTAAGGAATCAGATAAAAGAAAATTTGAGAAATCAGATGATTATAAGAATGCAATTAATGAATATATTGGTCTATTAATTACGATGAACAGCTAAAAATCAACTTCATGAACAAATACAGGGAATAATAGATTCAAAAGTTCCAGCAAAATAAAAGTTTAAATATATTTTTTTATTCGAATATAAATGAGAAGACGTTTCACTAGTCAAAAGAACACTAACGCAAAAGCAGAGATTACGGTTGGTTATAACGTAAATGATGATAAATCACGAATTATTCAAAATGTTAAAGTTAATGTTAGCCCGAATTAACAAGGTCAGCAACTCAACCAAATTTATTAACTCGTGACTTACCGAAAAAGGAGGAGGAGCAAAATAAAGAAGATGGAGACCCAATCATTTTATCTGAACCCGGTAAAGAACCTGTTGAAACTCCCACTTATCCAACATACCCCCCGCTTCTTTCATCAAACATCGAGAACCCATATAAAATAGACATTAATTCTGAATTAATGAAAATTTACCGTGATATAATAACTAATAATTATGATTCAATAATAAATTTAATTGACCAATCTGGTTTAATTATTTTACCTTATGAATCATTAATTCACATTATCGCCATTCTTTGTGATGTTCAAGATTCAGACGTTAAGATTCAATTTTTCATAGATGATGAGGTTTCATGCTGCGGAACAGTTGCAAAAATAAATCCTATAAAGGATATTAGCACAATTAAGATATCAAAGAACGGAACAACAACTGAACTTCATTTAACATATAATGATATTTATAATAAAATAGTTGATGAATATAAAATATCACTTGAAAAATTCTTTGTTAAGGCTATTTAATATTCAAGCATTAACATTATCGAATAATAATCCTTTGAATCATAATCAATAATAATTGACCTTTCACCAGTTTCTATCGTTTGTTTTATTTCTTTTTGTTCCCCACTATCCGGATCGGTCATTGTAATTGTTTTTGTTATAGTATCAGCTTTATCTTTAACTTCAATCTTTTTTCCATCGGGATATTTAAACCAAAATTCCAAAAATTCGATATTGTCAATCTGTTCATATTTTAATCTATCAATTACATTTTTAATACCATCTGAAAATCTTATGAAATGGTCATTATATGGGTTTGATTGAACTAAATTTGAATGAAGTGAAATATAACCCGATGATGAATATGACATTGACTCATATTTTCTGAAAACACTAAAATTTATAACATGAATGAATTTCTTATTCGTTGAATTTATGAATTCTTGAGGTAATCTTATTCTAGTTTTATTTATCACTGGAAAATAACGCTTTACCATATTTTTAATCGTAATAAAAATGTCAATTATCAATATTATTTCGAATAATAGCTGTGAATTAAATTTAACAGTTAGCGGAATTTATAATGTTACTCTCGTTTCTGTGAGTGGTAAATTTAATCCCATTCTTTTAGACCCTTCAGATTATATATCATTTATTAAAGATGACCATGAGCCGCATAGCGGCTAGGTCGTAGACCTTGAAAAAACGTATGATATGTATATAAATAATGTGATAGCGAAATGGGATATTAACATGATTTTAAGTTATTTAAATGAATCATTTATCGTATGGTATGAAGAAAATTTTAAATCAAAACCTGATAAACTTTTTGAACTTGATGAAATAAATAACCTTATTAAATTTCCGCTGAAAATTAAATTTTGTACTCCTCATCTTCGTTCATTGTTGGGGATATTAAATTTTGAAAAAGATGTTGGGGATGTTTTGTATTCTGACACTGGTTCCAATTTCATTTTAATCAAATGTGATAAAGTTAATACCCCAATGAGATTTTCACATCAAACATTAGACCTAACTCTTACCCATCAATACAAAACATTTTATCCATCAACTTAAACACATTTTCTTTATCATATCCGTTTCAATTATCCGGGAATTCATTTATTCTTCATTCAAAAGATTTATCAAATATTAAATTTAGAATAACTGACCTATTTGATTGTGATTTAGAATTTATGAATGAAATATTATGGCAATTTCAAATAGAGAAAATAGCTGATGAGATAACGGATTAAATATTTATTTTTAAATCGTAATAAATGATTAAACAACAGCAACTTAAGGCGCAAAGCGCCCAAGTCCTTCAGACCATTACATACGCCACATATGCATATAATTCAAAGACGGCAGAACAAACGCAAAGGTTGAAATATGGAGATTTGGAGATAGTATTGAAAAATGACCATTTCGAATTCGTTTGCAAAGGTGGTGCAGTGATATCAAATATAAAAGAAATTTTATTTATGAATTCAAAAATTAAAGGTATAACGGATGATATAACATCAATTCCACCAGAAGAACAGAGATATTACGCATTAAATGCATTTCCTAAAGTTTTGAAGATTGGAAGATTTAATTTAAATGAGGAATTCATAGAAGGTTTCCTAAATGACATAATGAAGAAGGCAAATTTGGTTTATGTTGATGAAAAAGATAATGAAATTAAAGAAAAGGTTGAATGGTATCATGAATGGACATTGGAGACTTTTAAAGTTAAAGCTGATACAGAATGGGTTTCAGGATGTTTAGACCTTAAAGCAGATAAAACTTATGTTAAAGATGAATTAGAGAAGAAAGCGGATAAAACATATGTTAACAATGAGTTAGAGAAGAAAGCAGATAAGGAAAAAGTTATTTCATTCATTAATACTGAGTTAGCAAAGAAAGCTGATATATCATTTGTTAATGAAGAAATAAAACAATCAGAGGTCTATTTTACTCCACCATTTTTAAATTTTATGAAATCATCAGATAAAACATTTGATATAGATTCTTTTGAATGGATATGTTTCGATGGAGTGACCACGTATTTATTTTATACAGCAGGAGTACTTTATTATTTTAAAACAAATGATTTTAAAAACTATGAATCATTTACTCCATCTGTTTGGAATCCTGATACACGAAAGCCAATCATTAATCCAAGAATTTTATATGTTGAATATAATAACGGTAAATTTATGGGAATGATAACGGTTGGAGATGATTTTTGCCCTTGTTATTCATTCGATTGTATCCAATGGTTCAAATGTAATTTAAATCAAGATGCTAAATTTAAATATCCAAATAATCCTATTAGATGCGTTAATAATAAATGGGTACTAATTTATGAAGTCAATCAAATTTTCATTAGTGATGATGGGATAAATTATTATATGTTTAGTATGATGTCATCAGATTTGAAAATTGATTATACAAGTAAATGGTATTACATTAACAGCATGTATTTTATCCTACAAAATGATAAAATTTATAGATCATATTCAATACCACAAGGTCAATTTGAACAAATTTTTCAAGCTGATGGAGACATTGAAGCTTTATGTTATGCTTCAAATGTTTGTGTTCTTGTTTCAGGTGGTATGGTCTATTCATATCCTGTAAGTTATAACAGACATATTTATTTATCACAAGATTTTTCAGAGGATCCAGAGAAAACACCAAGTTGGGAATTGGTTTATTCATTCACTCCAAAATTTACTCGAAATTATAGATTTACTAATTTATTTTATATTGATGGGTATTTCATTGCTTTAGGATGTGGTGATTTAGTAAATATCAGTAGTGATGGAAGAAATTGGTCTGAAATCACAAAATTTCAAGATGTTAGAAAAGCAATTTTCAAAAATAATACGTTAATATTGATGACAAGACCAATTTTAATTTCTTACCCAGTTTCAATATTATATAATAAATTCAATATTCATAATGGATTAAATACAATTCTTGAGATGATTTACCCCATTGGTTCAATATATACATCAATGAATTCAACAAATCTAGCTGATGTATTCGGTTTCGGTACATGGCAACAAATAACCGATCGTTTCCTCTATTCTGCTAATAGTTCAAAACAAACCGGTGGAAGTAAAAAGATTACTGGCGAAAATTTACCTGCTCACACTCATACAGGAACGACAAACTTTTCTGGCGACCATAGCCACTCATTAAGAGACCACCCATTATACAACTCAGACTATAAAGCTGGCTATGACGTTTTATCTCCATCTTATAACAATTCAGCAAGAAAGACTTTTCGACCAACTGAACTAGGAGGAAATCATGTCCATACTTTCACAACAAATCCAACAGGCTCGGGTGAAGATTACATGCCACCTTATATGACAGTTTATGCATGGTTTCGTGTTCAATGAACGCTCAATGTTTGTTTCACAAACTTTAGAACGGCATAATTTAAATTTTTATTTTAGTATAAATGAAGATTCTACCATATGGTGTTATTGGAAGAGATAAAGATGGAAACCCAATATTTGATCCGAAGTTAAAATTAAAGTTGCTGAAACCAAAACAGGATGAAAAAAGAGAAAAAAGAGAAAAATGAGAAAATGAGAAAGAAAAAATTTAAATTATGCAATTTTATTTTTATCATAAATGACAAAATTAATTAAGCCAACTATTTCTAAATTAATGATACCAATGAAATCATTTCATGGAGTACTTATCCCAGGTTCTTCACAATTAGCCGGGGCAAGTGTTGTGGCTCAAGGTGGAACATTAGCGAATCCATTCAAATTAATTAAAGATGAACTTAATAAAATGATGATAAAATAACTGATAACAAAATTTTATTTTTATATAAATGGATACCCCACAAGCTCAAAATTTACCACGAATCATAACAAGGGAGGAAATGATAAAAATGATGCAAGAACGAATTAAAAACAACAAACCACGAAAACCGAGAAGATGCGGTTATGCAGTAATGATGGAAAGAAGAACCCAGAAGGGTTCGGCGTCTCGAAGAGACGTTGTCGAAGAGGAATAAAAATTAAATTTGGATTGAGTTTAAAAATTCATCTTTATTAAATTCATCTCTTCCAATCAATTTATTTATTCTATTAAATTCTTTTATTTTTGCTTCACTCAGTTTAAGGATTGAACGGTAAGTTTCTAATTTTTCGATTATTTCTTTCCTCTCTTTATCGTTTTCAATTATTAGTTTTATGCAACCCCACCGCATTGCGCTTCTTTTTGTAATAGCATATTTTTGATTTAATTCTGTTTAGTTTCTTTTTATATTCATTGTCTGGACTCTGAATCTTAATTGAATCAGGACTCTTGGCTGCTTTGTTGTCACTCATTTCTTACGAAATAAAAAAATTAAATATTATTTAAATATAATGGAGTAATAAAATAAATCGGAATTTCTATTAATTTATTGTCAACTTCAACTAATGCATTGCCGTTAATATATCTAACAAATTCAGCTATTGTGTCAAATCTTCGTCTTCTTTTTGTCATTGATTTATCAGTTTTTCCATAATCGAGATGAATCAAAACTTTATCCCCTTGTTTAAAATTCATGAGCCCCGAATTAATTTGTTCACGTTTAACATCATTTAACCTTTCCATTTGCTTTCTAATATATTCCCATTCTTTTGAAATATCATTTTTCATTTCCACTGGTTTCATGTTTATAGTTCTATGCCATGTATTATTGTAATAATATACTAACTGCTGTATGATGGAGTCATGATTTCCATCCCAGTATATCTGACCGTTAACCCCTAACGCATCTCTAAGAGTTCTCATTACCGCATCAACTATTTTATTATGAAACGTATATGGAGAAGATGAGAAGTAAAAATTAATTTGTGGGAAATAATGAGCCATAGCTGCCTGAAATCCTTTATCACCATCACCCCTATATTATCTACTCTTTCATGATCTAGTAAGTATTGAATAGCTCTTCTTGTTTCCTGTTCTGTTTTCCCTTTCACCGGAATGCAATATAAATATCTAGTGTTAATGTTAATGGCAAATAAATAAGTAACGTTTCCTTTTGAATATTCTAAATGATCGATTTCGTATGAATATGGATATGGAGCAAATGAAGGGCGACTAAATTTTTCCTTTAACGGTTGAATTTTCGGGTCAATTGGTTTATTTAATATCTTGAAATCCTTTTTAAAATCTTTTTGTTTCTTTGTTTGAAATGGATATAATAAAGTGAATGATGAAGGATTAACTGAAGGAGGAGGTACTGTCGTTGGAGGTTTTGGTGTTGCAGTGGTTTAATTTTATCTGCTTTGATTTTGGATGATGAAGTTTTAGTTGTTGATTTTCCTTTCATTAATTCTGGATGTATTCTATTCATTTGTTTTAAATATGCTGTATATAAAGGTTTGATATACTTTCCCGCTTCGAGTTTATGTTGAAGGATGAATTCCAAAAGTTGATCTTCATTTAAAAGTCGGGCTGAATATGGTTTAACTAATGAATCATAAATTAAAGCTTGTGCATCATTTATGGTCTGAAGGACCTGGGCGTTTTGCACCTTTAGCTGTTGAACATTTGCTACTTTCTCTTTTGGTGTTGTTTTCGGCTTTTTCTTCTTTTGTTTTTGTTCCTTTGGCTTTTGCGGCTCAGGATTATATAATTTATATAATTCATCAATATCTTCTTCTGTTAATACTTTATTTTTGAAATCTTTCAACTGTTTAAGTTGTGATTTATTTTTTCCCTTTGTATATTCATTATTTTTAATTTTGTCTTTAATTTCAGAAATTATTTTATCATGATATTTCAAAATTTCATTTTTATAATACGAATAATAATAATCCATATCATCACCCGTTATTTTTATTATGTTTTTGGAGATATGATTTTAATTCATAATAATTAAGAAAATTTTGATTAAGTACTAAATCATCAATTAAATTTTCTAAATCTGCGTTATCCATTTATATAAAAATAAAATAAATGTTTTAAGGGTGCCCACCTCTTTGAATCATAGTATCAAAACCATTATTTACATATTGAATCGCATCATTAACGGTTCCTCCTTCTAAAACGGTATCAAATGGTGGAGTCCAGATTTCCTGATGATGATCATAAAATCCAGCAAAATTAACCGTATTATTAGGTAAAATATGAATCTCAGCGGTATATCTTCTATCTAAATTTGGATGCCTTATATGTATACCATTACTACCCGGATAAAATCTCAAACCTTGATTTTGTTGACGCATCAAATTATTGAAATTTCTTTCTTCAGGGGTGAATGTTCTTCTCCGTTGACGTTGTGGTGGTGGTGGTTGTTGCTGCTGCTGTTGATGCTGTGGTGGGATTTGAAAAATTCGTTGCGGTTGATTATTTGGAATCTGAAAGTTAAAACCATTTGGTATAAATCTATTCGGTTCCTTTTGTCTCTTCTGTGGCATTTTATTAAAAATAAAATTTTAAATTGTATTAAATAAATGGCATACAACATCCATTTTCACAACATACAGCCTTAGTGTGTGCTCCTGTTAATGCAGTCTTACCGATTGTTAAGCGAGTCATTGACCCGTTTTTAAGTTGTAAATTAATATTCTGACCATCAAATATCACTTTATCATTTATTATATCCAAATAATTTTTAGGTGTTAATTGTTTATTTTGTCGTAAACTAACACCTTTCATTTTTTGTGCAATCTTTTTAAAATCACCCCCATCAATTGAACCGTTGAATGATGTATAACACTTAGGACATAAAGCAACCATGTTATCACCTTGTTTCTCAATTGCTAAACCCAATAACTTCTTCTCATGTGCTTTTTCTTCAGCTTTATTCTTTAATTTAGGTTTAAATTTCTCATCAAAACAGAAGAAATCAAATGGTGCGAATTTGAAAATGTTTTTATCATAAAATTGTTTATCGGTAACAATTGCTTGAAATGCTTGAGTGTTAGGAAGATTTGGGTCGCCAGCGATTGCCCAATAAGATGAATCAGTATCACCTTCAATGAAATGAAAACGATTAACATTCATGCATTTATACATAAAATCATAAATGAAAACCAAATACCAGTATTTAGCATTATCTAAAGTGAAGAATGCCTCTTGTAAACATGTATCACATCTATAAAATCTATCTTTAAGCATCACTTGATATGTATCTTCACCTATTTCTCTTATGTTTTTAAACTTATTTGACATACATGCAACGCGTGCCTTCTGTGCATTCATTATTTTAGTCTTTGCGTAATTTTGTGTATTCATTGCATCGTAACCATATGATCCATTAAGTGAAATCTTGCAAAATAAACTTTTTCCTTTATTTCCTTCTAATTCAGCCTTTTGTCTTTCGTTCATAAATTCGTTCGCAAATTCATTAAAACAAGTGTTTTTCGTAAATGTTAAAATTGATTGAATATCATCGATGATAAAATGAAATCTGTCTATTAGATACCAAAGATAATAAGAAGAAAATGGTTGATATTGGTTGTGTGTTGATGCTAACTGAGTTAATTTCCTCTGTTTCTGGTCAACTGGTAGATTGTTTGATTTCATGTAATTATACATAAAACTGCCAATTGTTTTTTCATCTGTGATAATATCTAAGTTTCTTATTATCGGTAAAAAGTTTATGTAATCATTAATGTATTTTTCATCAATGTGACCCTTTACTTCAGCCACGAATAAAGTATTTTTCTTCTTAATTATTCCCAGTGCTTTTGCTTTCTTTGTTGCTGTATCACAAATGATAACACCATTCAATCTTCCCGGCATATACATTTTATGGTCAGTATATTGAATGAAATCATGAGGATTAGATGAAAATGATGAAGGATATAATGAATTAAAATCAACACCAACGAAATGAGTCATGATGTTGGAAGTGTCCTCATTTGATACAGTTTTAGTTTCTGGACTATATGAAAGTTTATTAATGTGCGTGATTCCTTTAAGATTAACACGATGTTGAACATTTGATAACCACCAGTAATTCCATTACGGAGAATGTGATAAGCTTCAACTGAATCTAAAGTCATTGGTAAATTATTTTTTAATGCATAATTTCTTAAATTGATTCTTAAACGTTGAACATCTTCATCTTTATTTGATTTTACGACATTGCAATAACAACACATTAACTGACAATTTTCTTTGGTATGTGGTTTTTCATTATCGATTCTATCCAATGTTGGTTTATGCATATGTAAACGCTTTACCACACATTTTGCATTTAGATGAAAGGATTAAATCGTGATAGTATTGAAAATCATCCATTGAAACATTATTTTTAGTATCCCTTTCTGCTTTTTCATCTTGTTTCTTATATGATTCAATTTTATATTTCCAATACTTTTTCGTTAATTCAAAACTTGATTCTATCTCTTCCTCAGGATATTTTTCATTAGGATTAAAGTCTTTATATGCTAAAGCGTAACGAATCATTGAAGCATTCGATGATAAAGAAAGATTATGAAGCATATCAATTTTATAAACAAATGTTTCTTCAATAATTTTATCGATTGGGTCAATCATAATTTCAACATCTTTATTGCAATAATGAATAAAATATTCTAATCTATTCTTAAAATTTTTAGCATCATTGAGATATATTTGATAATCACTATCTGATATAGTTTCTTGAGTTAATGCTGAATAAAATGAATCTTGAGTGAATGGTTCCACTTTATATAATTCTTCTTCGTAATTTTCCCACGTGATGAATTGATAAGGGAAAAAGGATTTAACACGTGATTTATTGTTTCCGAAATCTTGAGTGAATTGGTCTAATGTCCCACCCGCTATATAATTTCTGATGTCAATAAATCTCAATTCATATGGACGTTTGTTTTCTTTACAATGATTTGCTTAAATTGTGAAGATGAACCCAGCATTGATTTTATTTTCCATTTTGCAGTGTTTAAATCACGAAGAATTAAATTTAAATCAAACTTTCCCGAATTAAAACCTATGATATTCACTTTATTGAATTCCTCATCTAGAAGTTCTTTAAATGCTTCCTTCTGTTTTTCATTTAATGTATGGGACAAAGTCCCCGCCGTTTGCGGCTTCAATAATTCTTCATATTGTTCATATTTGATTTAGCAACTAATGAACAGGTTGAAAATAAAAACTCAATCCAATCAGAAATAAAAGAATCACTCGAAGTTAAGCAAAAATTCCTCGTATATGTTTTATCATTTAATTTAACCGTTGATGATACCATGAATGGTTTTAAGTAAGCGTTCAAAGTTGCACACTCAGAAAGTTGTAATTCTTCTTTAGTCTCTAATGTTTCGAAGTCAAAAGTAATATAATATCTTGTCGGTTTATAATATTTCTGCAAATTGTGAGCTAATAACCACTGATATATCTTCTGTTTCGTAATATGTGGTGCATATGGTTGCTGTGTCTTTTGCAATGAACGTCTTGAATTAATCTTCCATTATTTTCTTTACATTTCTCACAATGCTTTAAAAATCTTCTTTGGTTTTTCCTTTCTGGATCATCACGGATAGAATAAACTTCTTCTTTACAATATGGACAAACTTTATAGCCGGTGAGTGCTTCAACGTCTGTTATTCTGTCAGCGTGAAGTTTTCCACATGGACTCTGTGTTAATAAAATATTTACTGTTTCAAATTCTGGATCTATCATTATTGATTCCACTAATGGAAAGTCTACCTTATTTATGTCCACGTCTTCTGGTTGAGGATCACAATAATAGAAATCAATATTAACATTTAACATTCTCGCTAATCTCTCACTTTCTGATGAAATGTCAAACCCTTCATATGCATCTATTGCTTCATTTAAATAGCTTCTACGAGTTTTAGGATTAACACCATCAGGAATGTTATAGAAGCGTTTAAATAACCTTCTACCTTCTGCTCTTATTTGATTATCATTCATTTTAGCTGTTCCGTTTTTGTTCATTTATGTAAGAATAAAAAAATTAAAAAAAATAAAGTTTATTTTTTAAAGCCCATAAAATGAATTAAGAACACATAAATTTTTATCATCTGCGACGTGACGAATACATTTTAATTTACTCAAGAATGCGTACCCTGATACATTAAATCTAATTCCTGTCTTATTTAATTTCACAACTTTGAAAAGGAATGTATGAATAGCTATAAAATGATGAGAAGATGTTTTATGGGTTGCTTCCATTTTTTCTGAAATAAATGAATAAATATAATGCTTATACGTTTTCATATCTTTTATGTTCTTAATAACGAATGGTATAGACCTTTCAACTTCGTCTTCCTTCGGTGCTGTTCTTTCATATGAAACATTATTGGTAGCTTCAATAATGAAACCACAATCACACAAAATTTTATAGGTTCCAATGGTTTCTTTTGATATTTATCTAATAAATCAAAAACTTTATCAACACCTGTGCATTTATTTAAATAATAATTTTGTAAATATCATGATCTTCTTTCTTAATCGTATTAGTTGCATATGTCACGTTTTTAAGAGCTTTTTTGAATTTCTCAGAATCGAGAGGGGGTGAAAGTAAGATACAAGGGTATTCTTCATTATCAATAAATTGTAACTTATGGTTACGAATAAATTTAGTACCTTCTTCTGAAAGTGTTTCGTCTATTTCACCATCTAATAAATTTTGTGTTGATTCTGAGACATAATTTTTATATCTTTCTTCATGAGATTTCTGTACTTCTGATTCTGAAGCTGGGATATTCATTAAACCCTCTACTTCATTTCATTATATTTTTCAACTTCTCTTAATTCCTTAATTTTTTCATCTATTTCATCTCTTATTTTTTTCAGTCTTTCAATTTCATTGTATTCATCATCTTTAATCCGTTCTTCATAATATTCAGGGAAAACATCAGGTTCTTTAGGTTTTTCTGCTTCAGATGTGGGATATAAGAAATTTATAACATCATCTTTATTCATTTTTCCATCATAATCTAAATCATTTAATAACTCCGCGAATTTTTGACAATTTCTTAAATAATATTTATTAACTTCATAACCTACCTCCTCTAATATATCCTTTATTTCCTCGTTTGTGAATCCTAATTTTTTAACGTTGTTAGTTTTGACGCTCATTTCATACAAAATAAAAAATAAAATAATAAACATAACTAAGTTTTAATTTTTCGTAAGAAGTTTATTTTATTTTTATATATAAATCATTCTTAAGGTCAAACAGACTTCTTATTTTTATATGAATTCCATCCTCTTTAATGTCATCAATGATTTCCATTTCATTATTTTCAATTTCTTCTTCTTCTCGTTTATGAGGTCTTTGATTATGACTCCATTGATTCCATGAAATTAAATATTCTTTATCATTATATTTATACCTCATTAGCTTATTTTGGCTTTCATATTCATTTAATAATTCACAATCTTCATTTTTAAATTGAAGTTTAACCCATTCAGGATTTAAACAATGTTTAATTAATCGCGGAATATCTGACATCATCTATATATAGCTTCTTTTATAAAAGATAAAAAATAAATTATTTTAAAATTAATGTTAATTTTTTAATGATTTATAAATAAATATATTTTAATGCATCGTCTATATATAGATGTAACAAAAAAAGTCACTAAACCCGTCATATCCTACTACTTCTTGAATTTATAGTGCCTTCATTGATTTTTATGTGGATTTATAATTTCCTAATGATTTGGAATATGTTTATCAAGATTATGTAATAAATTAACTAAATTTTGATGATGGCGGTTTTTCATTCTCAAAAATGATGTCTAAATTCCCCAAGATTAGAAAGCTTTTCGGCAAGGCCATTGCTGAATTCCACTTAATAGATCCATCAGACAAGATTCTTGTTCCTATCGATGGCGAATATCCAAGATTAACATTGGCTGCATGGCTTTATCTCAAGAAAGCTAAAATGATCGAGAAATGCAATGTTTGCGCTGCACACTTCTACTCATCTGAGAAAGTTGATCCAGAAACACAACAAATTCTCGATGATTTTCTCAAATTATATCCAATGGACCTCAAGTACGTCCATCACGAGGCAGTTACAGACAGAGATGCCCTCCACAAGATGTATGTTGAGGAAGCTGTTGCTGAAGGATGCAACAAAGTTGCTCTTCCAGATTCCATCGAGTTCATCAACGCTTTAATGTTCGCTACCATGATCACCGATGGTATCCTCAACGGACCAGATATTGCTCAAAAGATCCAGCTTACACCAGAATCTCCAGAAATTACAATTATCAGACCATTCTGCTACTTAAAGGATGATGAAATCAAATATTTCACAGCCAAGAACTTAATGAAGACACATAAGGCTGGTATCGATGTTGAAGAAGACAATACATTGGCAGTTTGCAGAGAATCAATCAAGAGACTCTCTACAGAGGCTTCTAACACAAACTACAACATCTTTCACTCACAGTTTGCTGTCCAAGAGAAGTATCTTGGTGGTGGTGATGGATTATACCACGAACTTGGTGACTTCGATAAGGATTAGAGAATATATTCATTTACAATTTATCATAAAGTTATATATAATTTATATATTTTTGGTTAATTTTTCATAATTATAATTATAATTTTTTTTAAGGATACACAAATCGAAAAGGCAACTTTTGTTGAAACTTCTGGACATTGAGCATCAGAACACAATGTTTGTCAATTTGTTTTTGAATCAATTTATTATTCTAGCTTTCTTCAACCGGATTGTTTTGTCCGAATACTTGCATTTAGATTCTAAGTACTTCCAAGTTTGAAATGGCTTTTATTGCGTAGCGGTAAAGGCTTAAAAAATTATATTTTGGCAATAGGAATTATAAATTATAGAATTCTATGTTTTTTTCTCTAAAGCATGACTTTTATTACACAATACATACAATACATTATAACCTAGTAATTCATTATAATTTTAACATTTTCATTCTATTTCTCAGTTCTCTTAGAACTGGATCATCTGAGTAAGATCCATCATCAAATGATAATGGATCTTTCTGTTCAGTAAATTGAGCAAATGAAAATGAATTTTCAATTTGTAATTTAGTTTCGGGTTTAATTTCTGGAGCTTCCTTAAAAAGCCAATTTTTAACTGATTCGTTTGCCACTATTTCATTTTCAATGTCTGTCTGAATCGAAATATTTTTTGTTAATTGTCTTCTTCGTGGTTTTTTGGCATCTGCCTTTGTATCAATGTTAACACCCATACTTGATATCTTTTTAAGTATTTCATCAGGAGAATTGCCTTCGAATAATGGATCATAGCGTGACATTTTCTTTCGAAGACGTTTAAAAATTATGTAAAACTTTAGATGAATAGTGTACATGTTACATCGTCGTCTCAGACCTAGAAATGATAAAATAATCACAGAATTGATCTGAATTATGAATTTATTTAGAATTCAAAATATCGGGAGAAATTGCCTGGCGTCATTTATCATTGGGCATTGAATCTGTATATACTTATATAATCTTATATTATCATGCTTTAAACCTATTATATATTTTTTCAAAAATGAACTTAAGTTATCTAAATTAACAGAAACATTTGTTAAATCCTACGGATAGTTAGTAGAGTTTGTACGAACTTGAATTTATAATTTGATGCACATTTGAAAAGAATTATGGGAAAGCTGTACGTCGCATATGCTTGTTCATGAATGTTTATTAGATATAAGCTAGCAATGAATCAGTTCTGACAAAAATATATGGCCATTTTTCAGTGCGGATCATAAGGATGACTCAAATAACGTTCATAAATCAAGTGAATATGTATCCAATAGATAAAATTTTGGGCAATATGGTTTGGAGCTTAAATTCTTAATTTTACCCATAATTTGAATCATCAAATTCATTTAAAAGAGTGAATTTGGATTTATCCAACATGAGTTAAAGTTTTGAGATGGTGTTCGAAATGAAATACTGAATGATTGTCATGCATTATTTTGAATTGAATAGACGTTTAATAATTTTCTAAAAATTAAAAATGACTGATAAAGGTGAACAGAGTAAGCAATCTCTTGCATCATTAACGCAAGGATTTATACATCTCTTAACAAACTCCGAAGATGTCGAAATTGAAATCACAAAAGCCTCCGAAATGTTAGATGCATCTAAAAGAAGACTCTACGATGTAACAAATGTTCTACAAGGTGTAGGCCTCGTAGAGAGATGTGGAAAATCTAAAATAAAGTGGACTTCAAGAAATTCAAAGGCAGATGCTCAGAGTTATCACAATGCATTACTAGAAAAAGAAAAAGAACTCATTCAAATTAGTAGTTTTCTTGATGCAAAAATAGAAGAATTTACAAATTCAGAAGTATTTAATAATCTAGGCTGGGTAACGGATTTTGATATACAGAAATGTAAGAAAGATAGAAATTCGAAAGTATTTGCGCTAAAAGGACCGGCGTCACTTGCAGTTCAAGTAGATGAAACAGAAGATGGAACTTATAGAATGGTATGTCAATCTGAAGATCAGCCAATATCTTGGACACCAATAGGGCGTAATTGAATTTGTTGCGTTGTTATATTATTTCTTTTTTATATTTATTAGTTTTGTTTTGATTAAATTTTATTTATTTTAAAAAAGTACCAAATACCCTTATCTAATTTTGACTGTTGCATGCCAGCAACAAAAACTGCCTCGAATATTTCATTTTCAATTCCGCAAACTAGATGCTGTATGCAACAATTCCCATAGAATTAATTTTATGCCAAGGAATCCTTTCAAAACATGTTCGGCACCTCTCAATTTCTGGCATAATGGCAGAAATTAAAAGGGTAACTTTTTATGGAATAGAGTGTCTGTACAAACCCCATAGAAGTGATTTTCTCATGTTGGCTCAAGAATTCCTTTTTAAATTTTTTCATGTCTGGTCAAGACATTAGCCCAATGGAGCAATTGATTGTTTCAAGTTATTAAGAACAAAATTTGACTCAGAAATAATTCAAGCATGTCTAATATTTCATTTTGAGGAAAACATCCAGAGATCATGAGTGAATATTTCGCATAATATTAGTTTTGTCGCATTATTGATGGATGAGTACAATATAGAAATCAATTTAGGATAGGGTGTATGGTATAGGAATTCTGAATCATTTTTATTTTATTTCAATCAAACAGATGATTTTATTGATATTCCATTCATTTGTAAAAAAAGATAAATATGGAAGAGCCACTCTTCAAAATGCAGCAATTTTCATTAGTAAAGAAACTGCTGATTATCTTATTTTGTTTGATGCAAATATCAATGAAAAAGATAAATATGGAAAAACGGCTCTCCGTTTTGCATCATTTCATAATAATAGAAATGATCGAACTTATTATTTCAAATGCAATAATTTCTCTTTTACAAACTGCTCTTCAGAAAAAATTCAAAATCTTAATTATATATCAACAAGTTTACAATTCAATGGTTAAAAATGGATATAAATATGAGAATGGAATTCCGATATTTTTAATAGCTCTGCATGAATTAGCAAAAGCACAATTTTCAGAGAATGCAATTTTAGGAATATTTGCAGTATTAACAAATTTTTCTTGTACATCTTGTGGAGCAGAAAATGAACCGCACCTACGAAGAAGAGGACATCCGTCAAATGCATTGGTACCTATTTGAGAAATACTAGATGATGAGAAGAAAACAAAATTCGAATTCTTGCAATCCTTAAAAGCTTGATAATCAATAGTGTTAATATTATTTCCATTGAAGAAAACTCTTAAGAGAGTTGGACTTCCCATGAAAGCACAACTTCCAATAGTTACCATTTCTAATGGAACAATGAAATTTTTAACTCCACTGTATGGAAGGAAGAGAATAAGCTTTGTTTGTGCGTGATTTGTCAATGCACCATTTTCAAATCGATATCTTTGATCATTTTGAGGAAGCTTAACAGACTTTAGATTATAACAACCATAGAAGCAACCTCCATTAACCTTTGAAAGAGTACAGTCAGCTCCCATTATCAATGTTTTCAGTCTTTCGCAAGATTGAAATGCAAAACTTTGAATACTAGCTAATGAGCTTGGAATTATGAAATCTGTCAATGATGTGCATTCATCAAAAGCATATGTTCCAATATCTGTGACACCATTGTTGAGTGTAAGTGTTATCAATGATGTACATGATTGACATAGCATACTAGGAATATTACAAGATATAGTTAAATCTGTGATTTGAGAATTAGCAAATGATCTGATACCAACTGATTCTATGAGATGAGCGTCAAGACTAACAACGTTAAAAAAATGGGATTCACAAATGAGGAAATAAAGGATATATTAGAGGAGGCGGGTTATGAGGTTGATAAATATTATTTAAGAAATTGTCAAAAATTCGCGGAGTTTTTAAATGAGTTTGATTATGATGGAAAAATGAATAAAGATGATGTTATAAATTTCTTATATCCCACTTCTAAAGAAGAAAAACCTAAAGAACCTGATGTTTTCCCTGAATATTATGAAGAACGGATTAAAGATGGTGAATACGATGAAATTGAAAGACTGGAAAAAATAAGAGATGAAATAGATGAAAAAATTAAGGAATTAAGAGAAGTTGAAAAATATAATGAAAATGAAGTAGAGGGTTTAATGAATATCCCAGCTTCAGAATCAGAAGTACAGAAATCTCATGAAGAAAGATATAAAAATTATGTCTCAGAATCAACACAAAATTTATTAGATGGTGAAATAGACGAAACACTTTCAGAAGAAGGTACTAAATTTATTCGTAAACATAAGTTACAATTTATTGATAATGAAGAATACCCTTGTATATTACTTTTCACTACACACTTTAAATTCGAAAAAAAATCATTCAAAAAAAGCTCTTAAAAACGTGACATATGCAACTAATACGATTAAGAAAGAAGATCATGATATTTACACAAATTATTATTTAAATAAATGCACAGGTGTTGATAAAGTTTTTGATTTATTAGATAAAATATCAAAAGAAACCATTGGAACCTATAAAATTTTGTGATTGTGGTTTCATTATTGAAGATACCAATAATGTTTCATATGAAAGAACAGCACGAAGGAAGACGAAGTTGAAAGGTCTATACCATTCGTTATTAAGAACATAAAAGATATGAAAACGTATAAGCATTATATTTATTCATTTATTTCAGAAAAAATGGAAGCAACCCATAAAACATCTTCTCATCATTTTATAGCTATTCATACATTCCTTTTCAAAGTTGTGAAATTAAATAAGATAGGAATTAGATTTAATGTATCAGGGTACGCATTCTTGAGTAAATTAAAATGTATTCGTCACGTCGCAGATGATAAAAATTTATGTGTTTTAATTCATTTTATGGGCTTTAAAAAATAAACTTTATTTTTTAATTTTTTTCTTACATAAATGAACAAAAAGGAACAGCTAAAATGAATGATAATCAAATTAGAGCAGAAGGTAGAAGGTTATTTAAACGCTTCTATAACATTCCTGATGGTGTTAATCCTAAAACTCGTAGAAGCTATTTAAATGAAGCAATAGATGCATATGAAGGGTTTGACATTTCATCAGAAAGTGAGAGATTAGCGAGAATGTTAAATGTTAATATTGATTTCTATTATTGTGATCCTCAACCAGAAGACGTGGACATAAATAAGGTAGACTTTCCATTAGTGGAATCAATAATGATAGATCCAGAATTTGAAACAGTAAATATTTTATTAACACAGAGTCCATGTGGAAAACTTCACGCTGACAGAATAACAGACGTTGAAGCACTCACCGGCTATAAAGTTTGTCCATATTGTAAAGAAGAAGTTTATTCTATCCGCGATGATCCAGAAAGGAAAAACCAAAGAAGATTTTTAAAGCATTGTGAGAAATGTAAAGAAAATAATGGAAGATTAATTCAAGACGTTCAGTTGCAAAAGACACAGCAACCATATGCACCACATATTACGAAACAGAAGATATATCAGTGGTTATTAGCTCACAATTTGCAGAAATATTATAAACCGACAAGATATTATATTACTTTTGACTTTGAAACATTAGAGACTAAAGAAGAATTACAACTTTCTGAGTGTGCAACTTTGAACGCTTACTTAAAACCATTCATGGTATCATCAACGGTTAAATTAAACAATGATAAAACATATACGAGGAATTTTTGCTTAACTTCGAGTGATTCTTTTATTTCTGATTGGATTGAGTTTTTATTTTCAACCTGTTCATTAGTTGCAAATCAAATATTGAACAATATGAAGAATTAATTGAAGCCGCAAACGGTGGGGACTTTGTCTCATACATTAAATGAAAAACAGAAGGAAGCATTTAAAGAACTTCTAGATGAGGAATTCAATAAAGTGAATATCATAGGTTTTAATTCGGGAAAGTTTGATTTAAATTTAATTCTTCGTGATTTAAACACTACAAAATGGAAAATAAAATCAATGCTGGGTTCATCTTCACAATTTAAGCAAATCATTGTAAAGAAAACAAACGTTCCATATGAATTGAGATTTATTGACATCAGAAATTATATAGCGGGTGGGACATTAGACCAATTCACTCAAGATTTCGGAAACAATAAATCACGTGTTAAATCCTTTTTCCCTTATCAATTCATCACATGGGAAATTACGAAGAAGAATTATATAAAGAGGAACCATTCACGAAAGATTCATTTTATTCAGCATTAACCAAGAAACTATATCAGATAGTGATTATCAAATATATCTCAATGATGCTAAAAATTTTAAGAATAGATTAGAATATTTTATTCATTATTGCAATAAAGATGTTGAAATTATGATTGACCCAATGATAAAATTATTGAAGAAACATTTGTTTATAAAATTGACATGCTTCATAATCTTTCTTTATCATCGAATGCTTCAATGATTCGTTACGCTTTAGCATATAAAGACTTTAATCCTAATGAAAAATATCCTGAGGAAGAGATAGAATCAAGTTTTGAATTAACGAAAAAGTATTGGAAATATAAAATTGAATCATATAAGAAACAAGATGAAAAAGCAGAAAGGATACTAAAAATAATGTTTCAATGGATGATTTTCAATACTATCACGATTTAATCCTTTCATCTAAATGCAAAATGTGTGGTAAAGCGTTTACATATAAATAAACCAACATTGGATAGAATCGATAATGAAAAACCACATACCAAAGAAAATTGTCAGTTAATGTGTTGTTATTGCAATGTCGTAAAATCAAATAAAGATGAAGATGTTCAACGTTTAAGAATCAATTTAAGAAATTATGCATTAAAAAATAATTTACCAATGACTTTAGATTCAGTTGAAGCTTATCACATTCTCCGTAATGGAATTACTGGTGGTTATCAAATGTTCAACATAGAGTAAATCTTAAAGGAATCACACACATTAATAAACTTGCATATAATCCAGAAACTAAAACTGTATCAAATGAGGACACCACCAACATTATGACTCATTTCGTTGGTGTTGACTTTAATTCATTATATCCTTCATCATTTTCATCTAATCCTCATGATTTCATTCAATATACTGACCATAAAATGTATATGCCGGGAAGATTAAATGGTGTTATCATTTGTGATACAGCAACAAAGAAAGCAAAAGCACTGGGAATAATTAAGAAGAAAAATACTTTATTCGTGGCTGAAGTAAAGGGTCACATTGATGAAAAATACATTAATGATTACATAAACTTTTTACCGATAATAAGAAACTTAGATATTATCACAGATGAAAAAACAATTGGCAATTTTATGTATAATTACATGAAATCAAACAATCTACCAGTTGACCAGAAACAGAGAAAATTAACTCAGTTAGCATCAACACACAACCAATATCAACCATTTTCTTCTTATTATCTTTGGTATCTAATCGACAGATTTCATTTTATCATCGATGACATTCAATCAATTTTAACATTTACTAAAAACACTTGTTTTAATGAATTTGCGAACGAATTTATGAACGAAAGACAAAAGGCTGAATTAGAAGGAAATAAAGGAAAAGGTTTATTTTGCAAGATTTCGCTTAATGGATCATATGGTTACGATGCAATGAATACACAAAATTACACAAAGACTAAAATAATGAATGCACAGAAGGCACGCATTGCATGTATGTCAAATAAGTTTAAAAACATAAGAGAAATAGCTGAAGATACGTATCAACTGATGCTCAAAGATAGATTTTATAGATGTGAAACATGTTTACAAGAGGCATTCTTTACTTTAGATAATGCTAAATACTGGTATTTGGTTTTCATTTATGATTTTATGTATAAATGCATGAATGTTAATGGTTTTCATTTCATTGAAGGTGATACTGATTCATCTTATTGGGCAATCGCTGGCGACCCAAATCTTCCTAACACTCAAGCATTTCAGGCGATTGTAACCGATAAACAATTTTATGATAAAAACATTTTCAAATTCGCACCATTTGATTTCTTCTGTTTTGATGAGAAATTTAAACCTAAATTAAAGAATAAAGCTGAAGAAAAAGCACATGAGAAGAAGTTATTGGGTTTAGCAATTGAGAAACAAGGTGATAACATGGTTGCTTTATGCCCCAAGTGTTATACATCATTCAACGGTTCAATGGATGGAAGTGATTTTAAAAAGATTGCACAAAAAATGAAAGGTGTTAGTTTACGACAAAATAAACAATTAACACCTAAAAATTATTTGGATATAATAAATGATAAAGTGATATTTGATGGTCAGAATATTAATTTACAACTTAAAAACGGGTCAATGACTCGCTTAACAATCGGTAAGACTGCATTAACAGGAGCACACACTAAGGCCGTATGTTGTGAAAATGGATGTTGTATGCCATTTATTTAATACAATTTAAAAACGTAGGGGGTGAGTCATGAATTTAAAATTTTATTTTTAATAAAATGCCACAGAAGAGACAAAAGGAACCGTTAATGATGGTTTTGATACTATGATTCAAAGAGGTGGGCACCCTTAAAACACTTATTTTATTTTTATATAAATGAATAGCGCAGATTTAAAAAATTTAATTGATGATTTAGTATTTAATCAAAATTTTCTTACTTATTATGAATTAAAAGCATATCTCCAAAAATATGATAACAATATAACGGGTGATGATATGGATTATTATTATTCGTATTATAAAAATGAAAT